TACTCTCCCACTTAGGAATTTTGTACACATTTCACCACCACCCTCGGGGGCTAGTTATGTTCTTGGAAGATTCTTCGACAAAGTTTTCCAAGGCCGAAAGTTTTAGGCTTTGAATCTCTTTTACTTAAAAAAAACGAAAGAAAAATACAGATAATCCAATACAATATCAATTTTAGTGAAATTTACCTCGGATGTCTTTCATCGAAATCGAAAATCTGGAGATTTAGGACAAATCAAGACCAAAAAACAGACTGAGGTGAGCAAAAAATATGCTTACTTAATTACGTCTTTTGAAGAACGAGACGAAGTTTACATTTAGTTAAACTTGACAAGAACAACTGAGACAAAATACAAAAGTGATGAATTTCTTGTCAGTAAATTGGCGTTTGTAAATGTTTCTGAATATTTAGCTTTTTAAAGTGAAAGTCTAGGTCTATGACAATAACATCTCTCAACAACACAGTTTTAAGTTCATTTTTATAATCATACTTGCTTGAACAGCTTAATAAACAGTTGAATATTTGGTGTAAATTTATATTTCATTCAATAATTGAAAAAATTATCTGTAGAAAGATATAAAATTATTGAATGAATGTCTTCTTTGTTTTGCCGATGGGACCCCGTGATAGGAGGCGAACAAAGCTGCTTTTTTCTTGAACGAAAAACATAGACATAGACATAGATTTATTTTTGGTACCTGAATGTTTACATTGATCAAAGGTTGTTTTTTTTCAAATTGTTCAGATCTGAGGTACAAGCTATCTAAAATAACTAAAAAGTTAATAGTTGGTAAAAAACAACCGAATTGTTAAAGGTTTATAAAGCTAAATAAAGGACGAATATTTTTTGTAATATGCTCTTCGTGTTATATTTCATCCAGCATTAAAATAATTTAAGCTTATCTATAGAATATTAAAAGATTTGAGAGAAAGTTTTTGATTTGTCGATTCGTCGAGAAAAATACTTGTCAGAAAAAAWATATATATACACGATTGTTTGCAAAAAAACACAAACCTGAATTCTTGAAGAACACTTCTTGATCCATCTTTGACTGCATGAAAGTTTTTATTAATTGTTTTGGTCTATAACTTGTCCTAAAGCGATTTTTTTCTGTGCATTTTAGAGCCGCATTTGTGAGTAGTTTTGCTTTGACATCAATCAGGATTCCTGTGTTGTGTACACGGACGGACGGAAGTGACGAAAAATCAACTCGATGGTTTACCATTTTTTCTTAAGTACGGTGCTCCGCTCGCGCGGGCCCGCGCGGGAGCTCCGCTATTACTTCAAATCAGAAGGCGAGGGCTTAAGTCCGAGCCCGTGAGTTTGAACCGGTTTAAAAACCACTCACGCCTCAATTCTATTGTTTTTATGACAGATGTTTTGAAGTTATAAGCACAATGATGAGCATTACCCCATGGGATCGGAAAAGCGTTTGTTAACATTTGTATGAAACTGCAAAAGTGTGAAGATAAAGAAATATTATTGCATTCACGGATTGTACTGGCGGTTTTGAATAAAAAGTATGTAGCTATTGTACTCAGATCGTTGTAGCCGTCGGAGGGAAATGATGAGTCCTTTTTTATTAATCCTCAATGTGGGTCTTAATATCCGAGTCAAAAATTACCCGACTTTGGGAAGGATATTGAGAAATTGTTTGACTTATAAAGTATACAAGAGAACCCAGGAGAAAATGTGTTAAGATTAATATTACCTTTTTCTGATGAGATTGCAGGGTTTAAAAATTAAGGCCCCCTCCACACTAATGCGTTTTCGTTTGAAAACGGAGACTTTTCGATGCGCTTTGGCCTTCCGTTTACACTAAAACGCTCTCGAAAGTGGAAACATTTGAAAACGGAGACCTATCGTTTTAGTGTGGACAGTCGAAAACGGACAAACATGGTGGATGTAAACAAACTTCTGCTTTGGCTACTGGCGAATTTAATCGCGTGTTTGGAGCTTAAGGACGGTGCCTACTAATTGAGAATCAATTATTTTTTTAAATGACTATGTGAATTATTTTAACCTATCAAAGGGTTGTCAAATTCTGGTTAGAAAAGTAGGGGTCACCATGCATTTAAAAGAAATAATAAGGCTTAAAAATCGTTAAAAAGTGATGACGTCATGATTTTACTAACACCAGGGGGAAAAAATTTTTTCAAAAGATTTTGAGAAATTTCTAATTTAAATCGTCCTAAATGACTGACACTTTGTTTCTTTACTAAAATATACCCAATTCTACCATTACTTTAATAGTTGGCTATAATATATATAATTTTTTAGCTTCGTGCTCCCTATTTTCGATCAGTAGGTACATAAAGATTGTGTCCATATTCTTTTCAAAACCAATTATTCTTTATAAATTTCATTTCACGAGGCTAATTTAGCATTTACTCTATCATTTAAACGAAGAAAAAATAGRGGTATCCAGGCGTTTTTAAGAGATACGAATTTTTAAAGAACATTATTAGGGATAAATCTTATGCCGAATGCGTGACAAGCGTTACACAGCATAAAAAACGGCGTGACAAACTCTGTTTTCGGCGCGTTTGCACGTCAAGCTAAACATGCTGCTTCCTGCCATGCAAGCAAAAAACACAGAGAAAAACTCGATATTTATAAGCTTTATTGTTCCAGGAAGACTATTGGGTTTGAAGTGAAGTTACTATTGACTTTTTACTTAACAGCAGAAAGGAATTTCTGAAATATTTGGTACGTAATAAGATGATTTTTTAGATTGAGAACTCCAAAGTAAAAGAATTTCATGATAAAGGTGTTTAGCGACCAAAAAAAGATTTTCAAAACTATAATTACACACCTAGATATTAATAAATGGTAAATTTTCAATTTCATATGTATTTCTTGTTTGTTTTTATTCAAGTTTTATAGGATTAAATCTAAACAAACGGTAAAAAGCTTTATTATTGAAAGGATTTGTTTTTTTAGAACTATGAGTCTGTCATTTTTTCACTGAAACTTGCCCAAAAAACCTTATGATTCTTTGTCAATAATACTTAACCCTTAGCAAATTATCTCTTTAACAAGCCTGGGTTATTTAAGATCGTTTTCTGTTTAACTTTTATTGAAAATAAATGTTTTGTTTCGTGTAATTCGAGTAATAAATTTTGAAATTCCTCGAATGTAGATGCGCAGTACGTGTGCGCGTGGACAATAGTAGGCACCGTCCTTAACCTAGCTTTATTTAACCTTCTTTTGACTTCCTATAAAAGAAGGGCTGCTGTTCTAAGGACTTTAGTCCTTTCAAGTTCTTCTCATCGTAAAACTCGGGCAAAAACGCATTATCAAAGGCCAAGAAGATTTTGGACTCGATCAGGTCGAACGAGCGCATGGTGAGACAATTTTGTTTCTGAAGTGATGGAAAGAGAACTTCGGAATGTCTTGATCTTCCTTAATAAAGCTATTTCAAACGTGTTGTCGTTTTGTTTAAAATTATGAAAACCGCGCTGGCGGGAAATGCCACAAAGATTGCAGACGCGCCTCTTTCAAGCATGCGCAGATTGATGCGCTACGTCACAACGAGTTGTGTATGCGTTTTCAAGCGTTTTAGTGTGGACGGTCAAAAACGCTATGAAAACGCTAGTGTGGAGGCGAAGCAATCGATGCGTTTTCGGTAAGACAAAAACGGAGCCTTTCGAGAATGCATTAGTGTGGACGGGGCCTAAGAAACCACGATTTGTCAATGATGTTAATATGCCCGATTATTTTTTTGTTCAATTCATATATATTACTAAAATGTTTTTCTGATGAGATTGCAAGACATGAAAATTATGAATTAACATTAACCTTAACTAAATCTTCAATTGCATTTTTTTCCTTTGTACTTCAGTTTCGCGATAACTGAATTCAAAACCCGGGACAGGTTTTCAATTTCAAATCTAGTTGAATTCAACCCCGCTCTCCCCTGCTGATAATCAAAAGCCGCCTCCACTGAGCTTTAAGAATGTTGGTCTTACTATAATTTAGCTTCTTCCAAAAAGAAGAAATGGAAATGAATAAGGAAAAAAATACTTCTTGGTTTAAATCTTTAGCAATACATCGATCGAAGATTCACGATTCCTTATATAGTTCAAAAGCATGCTTTAGGACTCCAAGTTGTGTGAGTTATATAAGCGATTATTTAGTTTTTATTGATTAATTTTACTATACTTACTTTATATGTATTTTAAACTATAATAATGTTTATTATTGTGAACGTTAACGTCTGTTTGAGGTTCAAAGACCATTTAGGATTGTTATTATTACTATAAAAACGATTGATATAGTATTGAAACGATATGATCCATCCTCTTAAAGGAAAATACTAGTTTAAAAGACAGTATACATTGTAGATCTGCACAGGCAATTAAATAAAGTCAAAGTGGCTAGGTTTTCTAATAGCTCATCATAATGGGCCTTTATTGTTTGCATTGGTTATTTGAAAGTTCTCGCGTTTTTCTTTATATAACTCAAGGCATTATCGGCTAATAAAGTTGACATATATTCTTGTGCGATTTAGGGCCATCAGAGAGTTCGATAGTAATTATATATTTAAAAAGAATAAATTTAAAATGTATATGTTTTTTGTGAAATAAAAATTTATAAATGTCGATGTAATTTAAGAAGTATCATTCGGGTATAGGAAAAACTTATGATTTCAGATGTAAAGCTAGAACTCAACACGTGCACCTCTAAAATGTTGCAAATTTACAATAAATATCTTTTGTTACATTGAGATATAACGATATACAATGAGAAAACTGAGCGGCTTTCAAGATATCACTGAACTGATATTTTTACATAGTATTAGTACATTCGTATTTTCTCAGTAAACAGTTTGTCATCTATCTGTTCTTGCTAATGTTGGATGACATGCACTTCAAGGGAAAATGAACTAAGAACGAATCGAAGGACCATTAAAAGGTAAAATCTCTATGCATTTATATGACCATAACAATTAAATATAATAATTGCTCAAAGACTGAGAAAAAGAGATCAGTACTTACTATTTTAACCCGCAGTAAATTTGATCCGAAGACAAGGGATATCAGTGCTAAGACTGATTGCCTCTAAACAGCAGCTCACCGCTTCTTACACGATTGATTTAAGTCTGAAGAGGAAAAACATTGATCAGCAAATAAGTAGAGAAGCTAAGCTAATAGAAGTACGTCACAGTTAAGTATGAACGTATCATAATGTCGTAAGTATTGAGTATTGTCTGTTGAATCAATTAAGTGCCTCAGCATTTCTAATAACGCTTACTTATCTTTAAGTTATCGTAGAGATTGTATTCAACATAATTCAAGACCTAGTTAATGGCTTATTTGGATCTAGTAGCCTCAGATACGTGTACTCTCGTCACAATACAATGCGCGGCATGGCCTGCAATCATGATCAATATATACGTGCTACGGTATGCACGACACCAGGGTATACTACCAGGGGATGCACGACACCAGGGTCTAAGGTTTTATTCCCTTAGCAAAACCTAACGAGATAAATTCCAAATCAAACTGTGAGTTAGCGGTGCCCTGACTTTGATCAGCCTAGAGGCTGTTCAAGGGGTCCATCTGTGAGTTGGACGTGCCTTGACTTTGATCAGCCCAGAGGTGGCTTCAGAATATTGATAAAAGTTGCAAGGGATGTGCGGCAATTTCGCATATTTTACTGTTAGATTCACACCCAAAATCGTGTTTTAAAACAAGGCGTATTAAAAGGTTCTTTAGAGTGAAATCATTTAACCCGCGAAATAGATATTAGACTAATACACTTTAGTAGACCCTAATTCCATTGTTTTCTTTTGTGTCTATTTGACTATTACACGTTGACTAATAATTTTTATTTCACGGGTTAAAATGCCTTCACTCTATACCACCTGGGGGTCTCACTGTGTAGTTTACCCCTCCATCATTATAGGGCGGATTAATTGAAACTGGCCTTCCTGGCTAAATATAATGCTATCAATTTGCTTTATGCCTTTAGAAAAGCAGACCTCTTGGATCTGTAATTGGTTTAACAGCAACAATAAGTTAGTGAGACCAAATGGCACAAAAAATAGAACCCTTCAATTTACGCTGCGATATGTTATGCTCATCGATAGAGTCGTGTGTTTGGATGCAGACCATGCCATATATAGTCGGATGTCGCATCTCTTTATGCTATCTTTTTATAGGCATCAGATATGAATTCTGTATATCCAGTACATCACCCAGGGTTAGTAAGTAAGAAGCCAATAACTATTATCTACTGTTGTCCATTTTCTACCAGATTCCAACAGATATAGAATATCTCATCTCTCTGATTTTTCAAGTCAACAAGACTTACCCAACCTAATCTATCTTAGACATTCTGCCGACTTGGTTTGGCCGAGTTCTTTGATTGATGCGTGATGGTTTAAGCAATTAGAGTTTAGTAATTTTACATTCAGTTGTATCTGCTCGTTATATCTGGAGCGGCCTTGAAAATGTCAATAAAAAGAAGAAAAACGAAAGAAAACAAAAAGAGGGATGACACATAGCACGCAACGTTTCGTGCCATATGTCATCCCTCGTTTTTTTTCCTTTTTTCTTTAATGAAAATATAAAAAAGGATATCCAAAAGGTTCTAGTTTCTACATTAGTGGGTTCATACTTGATGACTTAATTAGGGGGGTTCGTATTTTTGTCATGTATATTAGGGAGCCGTACGGACGATCCGAACCCTGAACTGCCAACAAAAAATATAATTAGTAAGATGTGGCCATGAAAAAACTATGAATGAGAAATGTCAGTCAAAATCGTACAGAAGGAAGGACAAAGACCGAGAAGAAGCAAGGGCAAACTTATCCAGACACTAACTATTTATGTACAAAAAATACCACGAAAAATTAAGAATTAGAAGGACAGAAGGGCACTAAAAAAAATAACAAAGAAAATGAAGGTCAGAAAAATCATATAAATTTCAACAAACAATAAGGAATATAAAAGCAAAGCTTCAGTTCGTAAATGAGGCACCAGCTGCTCATAGCTCGTAAAAGCAATTTTTCCCAAGGATATTTTTGTTAAAGACGACACTAATGATGATATGGCAGACGATGAAGAGGCGCTAAGGGCCAAACATGTACAACATCACGTTTCACTATGGCGGGTTAATATTCTTTCGTGTCATCAAAGAATTGAGAAATAGTTTTAGCACGGAAGGTTGGCAAGCAAATTCAAGTCTTACAAAGACATAAGAAACTAATTAATACTGATGCCAAAGTCAAATTATATAATGCCTATTTTTTACCTCATTTAGATTATTGTTCTATTGTATGGCATCATTGCGGGAGAGGTAATTCAACCAAATTAGAAAAACTTA